TTTTGTGGAGGTTGAAGTGCCTGAAAGACATTAGAGTCATCTGCTGGTAGGTGATAATATGAGTTCGTTACTTGTTCAAGAGAGAGAGAGGACGGGGTTGAAGAGAGAAATTTGGGAATCATCTACATGTAAGCCAGGAATGTAAAAGTTCTAAAAGGATTTGAATACGTTAATGAATTTTAATTGCCCTTGGCTATAAGAGAACCTAGAAGTGCTTGGGGTTGAGAGGTTGGACTTCTGAGAAGATAAATGTGTCATTTCACAAATCATTCCCTGATACCTTTGTAAGAGATACATTGGATAAATAAGATGTATTGGATAAATAGCCTGATCTGGAATGGTCATTGAGTGATGATAAACCCAGACAAGTGCTGCCAATATCAAGAAAGGAAATCCCCATGTTCTGTGATGTTTTCTCCAATACTCTACACTAGGTCATAGTCCAACAAATGATTTAGTTTTTCTTTTCTTTTAGTTTACTGTCTTTAGGATTTTACTAGCATATTTATTTTGTGCTTTATTGTGACCTCTAGATTTAATATTTATGCAGAACTAATCCTCCTCTATCTACCAATCAATCTTTCCATTATCCATCCATCCGTATTTATATATGTCCTATTCTAATTTTTATCTGATCCCATCTTTATATTTTCTTTTGAATGCCAAATCTTGGGGATTATATTATCCTTTTGAAAAGAGCAGTGATTCAAATGTTTAGCTAAGACCTTTTCTTACTTTCTTCCCATGAACCCCACATTTATCAAGGTGCTTATTAACCAAAGTACATGTGTTAAGTTTGTGTTATTTTTCCTTCCTGTCTTAAGTACATGTGTGTTATAACGCCAGTTCTAAACTTTCAGAATGTCGAAAGTAGTTTTCAAATCCATAATCCTGCACTCTTGAAAAAGAAAGTTTCTGAGCGTCCTCATTGAGAAGCACAGAAATCAGTGGAGGTTCTCCTCTCCCCCTTCTGAAATAGAATAACCCGAAGCGTCACCTCAGCCAACAGCACTAATCCTGCACTCTTGAAAAAGAAAGTTTCTGAGCGTCCTCATTGAGAAGCACAGAAATCAGCGGAGGTTCTCCTCTCCCCCTTCTGAAATAGAATAACCCGAAGCGTCACCTCAGCCAACAGCACAAGTGAACATAAAACTTGGAGATTGCCTAGTGTAGTGGATAGTGCTTAAGAGAGCATAGGCTCTGGCTTTCACTCTGCCCCTTAATAGCTGTGTGACCTCAGACAGGGTTTGGTCAGTACCCCAGTTTCCTCATCTCTAATATGGTACAGAGAATGCAAATATCTGTCTCACAGAATATCCAGAGTAAATGAATTTAAGTTATTAAGCACTTAAAACAGTGCCTTGCACATAGTAAATACCATGAAAATATTAAATAAATGTTAAAAGTTTAGCTTGCTTTCTTGTAGAATTTTACACTTTAAAATTTGGTCAGAAATAGTTTATTTTTAGTAAAATTGAGATCTAAACCATTTAATTAAACTTTTAAAATGTTTTTACTATCATAACTATTTTCCCCATGTAAGGCAAAATTACACTCAAGAAGGGCCATTTGGTCAAACTGCCAGCTCTCTATCAAGTGTCTGCTGTACGTGTTTCTTATTGTTAGTCTTTGATTTGTCTTTGATGTGTCAGTTTTTGGCTGATGAGTAATTATTCTGGTACTGATAACTTGTTTGGGTCAAGTGCAGCCCTGAGTACTTAGTATGAATAAAGCATTTGGTTTCTTCAGGCCAGAGAACCTGATATGTGACTTCTCTTCATTTCAGTTGGTAAACTTGTTAATTAACTGCATTTGAAAAGTGATTTTTGATTAGTGTAATCAGTAAACATGAAATCTTTTCTGTGATTGCCACACTGATTAGGTAAATTGTCACTTGAGAGGCTATTGGTGATGCCTTGGTTTATGTGGCCTTACAAAGAGCTCTAGAAAAGTTTTTAAAGACCAAAGGAAAAAATTAGCTGTCCTTTTTCCTGTACCTTCTGAAGTACAATTCACTATCTCAGAATTTTTTTTCTCCCTCTCAAGTGGGTCTTCTTTTAGAACCATACAAATGAATGATAATGTTTGTTTTACTGTCTACTTTATTACCTATCAGCCAGGAAATATTTCTGCTTTGTGAATACCTAAGTGCTATATATATTACTCAGAGCTGCATGAAGAAATTTGTTGAAGGGTAGCCTTGAAGTTTTTCTTTGATCCTTTTCATTTTTCGTTTTAGATTGAAGGCAAGGGATGTTTTTGTGTAATTGTATCACAGAATTTAAAAGTTTTAGAAAGTTTGCTTAGGGTTTAAAACCCGTCCCCCCCTCCCCCCCCATGATTTTGCACATGCTGAATTTATTTATGTGAGAAATGTTGTCTTGGAGGTGAGAGATAGTAAATGGAAAATGGAGAGGGAAGCACCTGGCATATTAGAAATGATGGAGTAGAACGTTTGCTGCTTGTCTGGGCACTTACAGGTGTATTGCTAGACTATTGAGAAGTTTTCCTCTTCTCCAAATAAAGCATTTATACTTAGTGAATGTTACATTTCAGTTCTATTTAGAAATATTGCTGTGCTTAATCTAACATGTAGAATGTTTGAATCTAATGATTATGTATAACTGATGGTGATGGCGTTCGTACTGTTTGTAGGAGAAAATATGCAAGCTTTTTTTCTGCCTTTATTTTTCATAAAATATTAGGATAAGTGCTCTTGAAGGTTTCTCTTAATATAGATGTGTTTTTTTATTATCTTCATTCAAGTTTAAATTTATTAGGGATCCATTGTGGAAGCTTTTATAAGTACCATAGAGAGTGTGTATTCTGTAATTATTCCATGTATAAAGAGACGCCATGGAACCAGAATCATGGAAGTAGGTCTTAATGGTGAAAAGGGATATATTTCCAGGGTGACCAGAGATTCTGGGACATGTGAAGTATAAAGCGAGAAAGGTGTTTGAATGAAATTTGCTTCTCCTCCCCACCCCACTGGCTAGAACATAGATTGAACCCTGGACCTTGCCTTGGTATTATCAGCACCACACACTAACCAACTGAGCTAATAGGCCAGAAGGCTGTATTCTTTTGACTTTGGTTTTATTAGCTAATTTTGTATATGTAAAGACTCTATAATTTCTTCTGGGAACATTTTAACTGATCCTCACCAAACTAATTTTTGTACGTGATCTGATTAGACCAATAGACTTCAAGTTTAACAGAGTGGCCCAAATGTTGATTTTACTTTCAGCAGATTACTTCCTCATACATGATAACTCATTGAAAATCATATGTTGAAGAAAATGTATCTTAAGTTCTTCCATAGAAGTAAGCCACACAAATGAAATGATTGTTGTTCTTGTAAGAATTTCTGGTTTTTACCTCTTCTAATTATGATTTTCAAATAGTGTATATAGTCTATAGCAGTGATTCAGAACTGGGCCTAGAATACAGAACTTTCTTCCTCATTTTTTGTGGATTGTGTGGGGATGAGTTTCGTGAATTGCTGTCCAGGTTTGAACATGCATTACTCGCCTGATGACCACCTTGTAACCTCCTCAGCATTGTTAGTCAGTTTGACTGCTAGAAGTTTGGTTTAAGAGATAAAAAGGAGACTTAATTCAAATTAACTGGAGATGTCACCTTCCTTTCAATTCAAAATGGGATTCTGCATGGGATTAGCAGCTGGTGAAGGGCTTCCTGCTCCTTTTTGAGAGCTGCTGGAAACTTTTCCTGCTGGGCATGGACCAAGTGGAGAGCAGGCTGTGGTAGCTGCAGAAGGCTGCTCCCCTTCAGATAGTTTGTGCACATTTAGAAAGCTTTCTTCAGTCTGGTCTTCTCAGCCATGTTGAGATTGGAATGAAACCCAAAGCAGAGGTAGCCAGTGTGTCACACTGAATCTTTGTGAGCAGCCACACACCTTGCTTGTAATATGTTCTCCTTTGTGAGGTTTCTGAAAGCACAATTCTTTTTTTTTTTTTAAAGTAAAAACCAGATTGCATTTTTTTGTTGGTTTGTTTCTAATCAGAGATAAGGTTTCATTTCTTTGTTCCTTTAATAAAGTTATTTTGAAAAGCATGTTTCTAGTTTGTTTCCATTAACATGTGACCCTGAATACATTATAGTAAGCGTTGTTGTACTTGGTCTTGGGAGTCTGGAGGAGGTTACTGTCCTCACGCAGTGAACTCATCATACAACTTCTGGAACCAGCTGTTTTAATTAGGTCACGGCAGACTGGCTTCAGCCAGGAGCTGCAGTTGGTTGATACCGACCCGCTGAGCTACGGGATGGTCAGGATATTGGTGGATATTTCTTTCATCCTGCTTATCAGTCAGTTTATGTAGAAGACCGCAGCCATGTTACTGTTTCTTCTAGTTAGATGTTGTTGCTAGTTCAGCTCTGTGTTAGAGGGAGAGCTTTGACTCTTAGAAAACAAAGGAAAAGTGGGTGGTCCCTTCATTAACATGTGTTCCTGGTTTGTGTTGGAGAGATTGTGTGTTCTCTGCTTTATGTTACGATAGCAGTTTACATGTTTAGAGGGAAATTTTCAGAATTTCCATTAAAGTTACTAGTCATTCAGTTTGTATTTATGGAAAAGATAAAGTCCTTTCCTTTTGCACAGCATTTAAAATATAAATTTAAAAATATATATACCTTTACATACACACACACGAGGGTACTTCAGAAAGTTCATGGTGAGCTTTGTATTATCTTTTAGTTCCATTTTTCCATAACTTTGAAGTACCCTCATATAGAGAGTGAGAGAGAAATGTGTGAGTTTAATGACCAAGGTTATTAAAACCATGTTTTATTATCAAAGGAAAAATAATAAAACAAAATTTGCTGACCTTGTTGGTTACTTCTTTTTTCATTTGTGATTTATTTGGTTGATATTCTATTTCAGATTTTTTTTTCAAAAACTTTTAATTATAAAATATGTGGGTAGCTGAATGGTGATTACTATAAAAAAAGTCTTCATTTAACCCTTCCTTATTTTCCAGATATGAGGTTCCAGGATTCCTGGCGAGGCCCTCCCCCCCTTTTCCAGCAGCAAAGATTTGACAGGTAATATTAAAGCAAATATGACTTTTAAATATTTTCCCACATCAACATTTGGGGCTTGTAGGTTTTTTAGAAACTAAATCTTCTGTGGTTTGAAATATACTTTTTCTCCCTGAAAGCAATTTCTCTTGTACCACCTGTCCTTTAGGAAAATATATAGTTAACACTTGGAATTAAAAGACCCACATTACATACTTTCCTACTTTTCTTGGTTCTTGGCCTTTATTTTATTGAAGCTTTTGAGGAACCCTGAAAATGCAACACAGAGAGCTTAAAACTGTATTAGGTTTTGGTCAGGCTAAACAAATTTCTTTTTAGAAGGGTTGTGCAGCTTAATGAGGCATAACTAATGGTGTTCTACTTTTATCATTTTTGTGCTGGCAACACAGCATTAGTACAGACCAACCATTGATTCTTGCTACAGACCTTTTGAAGTCCTAATCAGCTTCTTTGGTACAACTTTTTCAGGTCTGACAAGCCTATTGTAGGGTAGTGTCACTGTAGGTCAGTAGTTATTAGTTGCAACTGAAAACAGTTTCTTTAACTACTTAAGACTGAACTGAATTAAATGCAGAAGGGACTCAGAAGAGGATTATGGGATCTGCAGTCTAATAAGTACCATGGACTAGAAAGAATGTGACATGGTTTAATAACAAGGGATGTTTGACATGTGTTCCTTCATTGATAAGTTGTGTGCTCCTAAGTCAGATGGACCCTACACAACAAGACAACTAGGTATGTTATGAGTAATTATATTAACATCTGTAGAATAATTTTTTATAGGAAGGGCAGCTTTAAAATGTATCATTTCATGCTGGCTTTGCCAGTATCAGTAAGTGCAAAAACGAATTGAGCCCCATCATAATAAGGCTTCCTTTTTTGCCTTCCCAGTTCTAATCTGTTTTATTCATCTCCCCTCTCCTATTTTAGCAATCTCGAGTCTTTTCATATCTGGAATGAATAAAGTGTTTTTATAAACGGGGTTATAAATGCTGCCCCCCTTTTAAAAAAACTCTGTAATTCTTTAGAGACTCCAAAACTTCATTTCATTGTTTTCTTCAAGAAGATAGAATATGTTATTCAATTGTTTATTAATAATATTAACTACTTAACATAGATACCATTTAAAATTTAATAAAACTGGTAATGCATGTTTTATGCTTTGTTTTCAGGATAAATTCTTAAAGCACACAATATGTGCTATCTTATTATTTTCAGAGTAGCATTATTTTCAGACAGAAATCAAATGAGTTAAGGGGTAAATATTTTCTAAATTATGTAGTTTCCCCATCTTGTTACTCCCTTCCTTCCCATATTGACAATAATTACTGATGATTATTGTCTGCTTATGAAGTATCAGCAGTGTGTTGACATCCTTTTACAAACATTACTTCATTCTTTCCAGCAACCTTTTGAAGTAGATGCTATTAGTTTTACATTTTTACAGATGAAGAAACTGAGGCACACAGAAGTTCAGTAGCTTACCTAAGGTCACTCTTTGTACCATTCTTTACCAAGAAACTTTTCACTAGAACAAAACTCATCAGAATAGTTACTGAACATAATATAAAGCCATCGGGGCCTCGGAGGAAGTAAAGGATCCTACTTTCACTTCTGGGGCGCTCGCTGTTCAGTCCCACAGCTTTCCTTCCCTTTGTACACTTTTAAAGTTTTCCTAAGATCACTGTCATTGTCCCTTCCCTTGTCCTGATGTTCATCATTTTTTGTTCTTATTCTACCCTAGCCAAGTACTGGTATTATTTTGACTGATTTTGTGAACCCAGCAGTTTAGGTGTTTTTTGGTTTAGTATTAGTCAGGTACTTATAATCGTGCCTGAAAGCAAAAGTTAAATGTAAGCATAATAGAATTCTATCTTGTAAGTCTTAAATCATGGTCATTTAATAAAAACACCATTTATTCATAAAGAAAACTGAATTCTGCCATCCCAAACATCTCCATTAGCCTGCTAGCAGGTATATTACATCACTTATTTCTGTAGTGCTTGTTAGTCCATCCATTCATACCTTACAAGACATAGAGAAGATACTATTTTGACTTTGTCGAGATATCACAACTAGTAAGTAGTGAAATTCTAAACTATACTGTACTTCTTGAATTATTTCCACTTTGAGATAGCATTTATAATCCATATATTCATTTGACTTAAAAATACAACAGGAATAGCTCCCCTTTCCTTCCCACACAGACAAGTCTATGTGTGTTAATGCTAAGCAGAGATGCCCAGCATTTGAATTCCCTTTGTCAGTTGAGTTTGGCCAGATTGTCTGTCTCAGTTTTTTTTTTTTTGCCAGTGGACACTTCTTTTTTCTAGCTATATGCAAGGCAGTCATTTAGTTTTTCACCTGTGGGTGTTAAGCCCAGTTAGTCATGGAAAAATCTTTAAAACTCCGATTTGCCACATGTGTAAATTAAAAATATCCAAATTGGTAGTAGTTACTTCACATTGCCAGCTGCTTTCCAAAACAGTAATTTGGAAACTTAAGAATATTGTTGCCATCCCTGATGCTAGTTAGTCTCAATTAGTAACTGCTAATTTAAAAAAATTAAGATGTGTCAATTTTAATGCTTCCATTCCATTAAAATGTAAATTAACATAATTAGTTTAGAAATATGATAAACTTGTGGAAAATAAAGGACTTTCTGCCAGTAAAAAGCAGAAGAGGATAGTACGTCACTCTTACTTTGTTCTTTCTGTTTAATTTTAATTATTAATGATTTTTAGCATAACAATTACCTTTGTCAAAAACATAAATAATCACTCTAAACAAAAAAATGAGCTAATTTTAAACTGGCTTTGTTCTTGTTTTTAGAACATAAAATATTTCTAAATTCCATTTATAATGTGAATTTATCACTCTAAGACTAAAAAGAAAAATTGATCACAGTTACTACAATGTGTGAATTGTACTTTTGGCTTGTGGGTTTTGCATTAATGGCCCAGTTTTGATTAGCCTGCTTGGTCACAGAACTAGTCTTAACCTCTCACTCCTGTAGAGACTCGAAGAGACCATTTCTATCTGCACACAGAGCTATTTTTGCTAAAACAGATGAGGAATTCTTGTTAGAATATGAACCTGACAGATAATTAAAAGCCCTAAACTTATACACCTTCTTTCTGAGATATAGACTTAGTTTTAATTTTATTTTAAATCACAGCAAATTATATTTTTTACAGCTTTGGTTTCAGCCACCAACTGTGAAGAATAGCTTTGGCCTTTCTAGAGTGTTTCAGAGAGCTGTTCTTCTCTTGGAGCCATCACACAAAAATAATTATCTTTGGTAGTTCTTTTTAAAAAAATTTTTCCCCCTAAGACCTTGGAAGTGAATTGTATATGCTGATATGGTTGTAGTTAATATATCAGCTGGTCAGCACTTCAGTGCATTGAAAGTTTTATTAAATTCCTCCTAACATCTTCAGTGGCCCAAAAGCTTCTAAAATTAAAATATACAGAAGGATTTTGCTTCTATTTATTCTTTGTAGTGACTTTCATAAAAATGGAAGTTGAGGAAAGTGCCTCAAGGAGAAAGTGAGTCTTAAATGGTGATTGCCCATAGAAGGTTTATCTTTGCTGTTTTGCTTATGTGACAGTTTTTTAATTAAGTTATGATTTAACACATGATACCTGTTGCTTTGTATCTGCAAAGTTAAAATAGGCACTTGAAGACAATTAAAACATTTCTTTCCACTAGTAATCTGGGACAGCAAACTGTGTTATAATAGCTGTTGAATCTGTGTTCCCATGTAAACTGTACACCAAATGCCAGTCAGCCCTTGCCAATTAGTGCTCATGTTGCTAGGTCACCATGGTCAATTGAAAGCTGCATCAATAGAACTTGAAAAGGTTTCCTCCCGATCAGACCTTCTGACATATTGAGCAGGATAATGGATGGGAAAAAACAGCCAAGTCCCCTACCCTGGATTCAAAATACTCAGCAGTAAGAATTCATTTGCAACCTACAATTAACTAGAAAGAATGGATTCCAAGAACGAGTCTGGACATTTTTGAAAATAAAGCCTCATTCTCCTGTCTTGTACATGTTTACTCTTTGGATAGCATCTTAAATGTATCCAGCTTGGTGATCTTAGGTCCAAATCTTTAAGTGACTAAGAATGAAATTTCACAATTGATAATGAACAAAATATTTTTAAAAAATTAGACCTTCTGATTCAGTTGAATTCAAATATTCTTTTTAATGCATAGTGATAATTCATGAAACATGTTAGACTATACCACTAAACATTCTGATACTATATACCCCATATGACAAATTCAGGCAAATTAGACCGTCTTAAAATTTGGTGATGATACCTGCCAGTTTTAGGCTTTGTGCTATGTAATAAGCTTGACTTCTCAATGCAAAACATGGTGCTGTTTCTGTAGAGGTGCTGGGGCTGAACCTCTGCTGCCATGGAACCGGATGCTCCAAACTCAGAATGCACCCTTCCAGCCAAACCAGTACCAGATGCTGGCTGGGCCTGCCGGGTATCCACCCAGACGAGATGATCGTGGAGGGAGACAGGTAATACAGTGTGGGCTGTGGGATGAAAAGCATACTGCTCACTTTTTATTTAAACATGCCTCTCAGAACTTTGTATTTTTTAACCAACATTTCTGGGGAAGGTATTGATAGAGTAGCTCAGCTGAACTTGGGTCCATCATTAAAAATCTGTGTAGAGTGAGTACCTGTCTCACTAAATAGGTAATACCTTGAAGATGCTGAATTTCGGGCCGGCCCGGTGGCGCTCTGCTACAGTGCGCCGCTTGGGAGTGTGGCTGCACTCCCGCCGAGGGTTTGGATCCCACATACAGACCGGCTGCTCACTGGCTGAGCGAGGGGCGGTGCCGCTTGGGAGTGTGGCTGCACTCCCGCCGAGGGTTTGGATCCCACATACAGACCGGCCGCTCACTGGCTGAGCGAGGTGCGGGTGCAACACCGAGCATTTTTGTTTTTTCAGGAAAGAGTAAATAATATTGATAGCTTATCAAAAAAATTCAAGCTCTATCAAACTTTAATTGTATAGTTCTATCATACATATACATAATTTTCTTAGCTTAAGGAATTTCTAGCCCAAAGCCCTTTTAATCGTAGCAGTAAGTAAGAATTAGCACAAATACAGTTAGTCACCAAAACAAATTGTTTTTCCTTTAAAGGTATTGTTCTTTAATAGAAACTAGATCCCTCATAATGGATAATTTTCTGGAAGTTGAAAGTAAGAATCTACCTTTTCAGCTGTTGTCTTTATTCCTCTTAGAAGTCTCTTGTCTTGATTTATCTGACATTTCTCCCCATGGAAAGAAATCGCTCCTTGATAATTTACATACTGTATTTTTCTACTAAAGGTAAACAGCTATATTATTGAATATCTTAATTCTCAGACAAATTTAGCTTAATTTTCTTCTCTTTATAACATCCAGTTTTAACAATATTTATGACTGAGGCATATTTGACATAATTTCCCCCAACAGTTTGACACCCTGGCCACTATTTACATCCTCCTTAATCGAATTCTTGCTGGAGAACAGGATTGGAAAGCTGCAGTTCATTGTGTGTGGTGTTTGTGGAGTTTGACACCTGCAGTGTCATCAAGTGGTTTTTAAATTGCTTACCTGGTGTTGGCTACAGTCCTTTTGCTGTGCTTTGAATATTAATTTCCTAACTCAGGTTCTTTTAATGTAACACCTCTCTTCTGACAGCTAAGGAAAATCTTTTTTTCCCCCCTGCAATTTTTTGATGTATTCTTACAAGTCTGTCCACGTGATGCCCTCCCCCGTGCCAAAAGCACCTATTTGCAAATAATTAGTGCCTTTCAAGAGGATTTTGTTAGTTTATTAAAATCAGTTCATAGACTTTTGTTTTGAATTCTTTCAACCCAAGACCTCTAAAAATCATCAGTAAACTGAGGCTGTTTGTGCTACTAGAGTCTAGATAACATTAGGCAATTTAAATAATAAGCATTTTTGAAAGGGGGACATATTTATAATTGGAAGAAACCTTGGAGGATTTTAGTCCAGTCATTTCATTTTCCAAGTTGGGAACTGAAACCTTGAAACCCAAGTTTGGCAGCAGAGCTGGGTCCTGGCTGCCTGGGCTGCTGACCATAGTTTGTCATCTTTCCTGCATCCTTCAGAGGAGATTTGTCCTTTAAAGGAACTCTCTGCTGTTACAGCAGGTAAAATTCTTATTTACTTAGGAGAGATAAACCAATTGGTAAATTTATGATTCTTTTAGGACTTTTTGCAAGCACATTTTTTTTTCTCAGTTTCTCTTTTCATTGAGATACTTTTTATTAAATCACAACTGTTGAAGCACTGTTAGGTTGCAGAAGTTCATTGTTGAAAGCATAGAATCATGTCTTCATTATATTTTTAGGTAAGTTTATGTGATTAAACAAGGCCTTAGCCTGCATTGTGGCCTTGAAGGTCTGCACATATTTGTATTATAATTTAAACTATTGAAGTGCTCTAAGTGGCAAAACGGTGGCGGGGGGAGCTCATATTTCAGAACCCTGGAGGCCTCGAAAAGGGATTATGATGGAAGGGGTGTAACATTTACCTTGTGTTATACAGAAATGTTATTTGTAGGCATACTAGGATATAAATGTTGACGTACAGGTTTCAAATGCCAGCATTCATTGGTTATGTAATAATATATTATTTGTTATATGTACTATAACAATTATATGTAATAATTGATTATGTGGTAATGACCTAATATATTATTGTTTTACTATTTATTGCCAAACAAATCTCTAAAGTTAATTGCTCATTAGGCCTTAAGTGACATAGCAAGCTCTTATCTTGGTTAAGCAAAATGATTTTCCTAGTGTAATATGTCTAAAGATGATGTAGGCCTTACCTCAGTGTGACTTGAATTACTGCTGGGGGTGGTGGGAAAATTGAGAACACTGCCTACATATGTTATTTACACAAAACACTTAACTGTAGATCATTTGTGTTTTAGAGAATTTCTTAAGTGTAGTTGTCAAGGCTTGTTTGGTTAGTTTTTAGTGATAGCGTTTGTTCTAGCCTCCAGCTTTACAACAAGCTTGTGTTAAAGCTCTGGATCAAAGCACCTGTTTATGAGGACTTTCCATGTGCTATACCTTTAAGACATACTCAGCTTCTTTATGTATTTTTCCATAGAGGTGTAAAATTAATTTCTTTTCAATTATGTTAATCCAGAAAATTAACTGTTTTGTTTATTTTCAGGGATATCCTAGAGAAGGAAGGAAATACCCTTTGCCACCACCCTCAGGAAGATACAGTTGGAATTAAGCTTTTGTAAAGCTTTCCCAAATTCTTTCATTGTTCTACAGTTTTATGCTATTTGTGGAAAGGAGATTTCTTTCTCACGTAGGAGTTTTTAATAAAACTACAGTACTTTGTGTATTTCTTTTAACTATGTATGTTTCTACTGATCTGATCTCACTGTCTTATGTTGCTTTCCAAAGATGTGTGTTGCATAATACAGTAGATCTGAATTTATTATTGCTTGTAAAACACATTTGATGGGAAAAGGAATACTGGTTTTTCATTATGGCTGAAAATTAAACTGGCTGTGGGTTTCAAAACACAGTGTATTCTAGATCATCTAAGATCCATACTGATTTTTAATGCACAAGAATTAGATATGAACTCTTGAGCTGGAACCCTTGGCAAACTAGAGTATATATTCAGTATTTCTTTGGAAACATTTCATTAATGTAATTGTCTTACAGAAATTTCTGGACTTTAGTAAAAAAATAAAGTTAAACTTTAAAAACTCTGGTCTCTTGTTTTCTGATTCTTTTACAGTATTTCAGCTTTGAAAATGTTGACCAAGCATGTTTTTATAAATCAAGTCTTACAGAAAACAGTTCATTTCTACAGTAAGATGTCAAAAGCAAATCAGTGAAGAAGTAGATTTTAAGAAGATACGGGGAGCAAGACAATCCAAGAAAAGTTGTTACTTTTTTATATATTAATATGTCAGCTACTGATTTGGCTAACTAAATTCTTTGTGAGAATAAATTATTTACATTTCTCTTTTAGAAAAGTTGAAAACTTTAATTCATAGCTAGTCTATGCTCTTTAGCATGTTTTCTGCATTATTTCATAGTAAATTTCAATTTGTACTCTTTTTTTTTTTCTCGTTACTTAGCACATTATAATTCTTTAAATATATGTTTGGACTTCACACACAGCACTTTCATATACATTTTCATTTGATTGTCAAATTTAGACGCACACGAACACTCTTGCTGCTTTGTTTCAATTTTTCCATCCTAGCCTAAGATTATAGAATAAAATTTCTCTTTGACCTTCTGACATAGGACATTTTTGCTTTAATATTCAGCTAAAGCACACTTGTTAATCTCAGTCTGTGAAAAAAATCCCACCTTAACCTTGAATAGGAAGGTATTTTGAAGCTACTGAATTCATTGCTAGTGATGGGTAAATAGAGCAAGATCCTTTATTGTTGAGATAGAGTCTCTCTATTAGGAATTATCAATACAACTATTATATATTACCTTCACTGTACATTAAAGTGATAATGCCTTCTTTGTTAAATTTCTCAGTTTATCTCCCAAATATTAAAAAAGTATAGCCACCTAAATAAAGTATCACATATTCCAGAGGAGCCCATAAATGTCTTCCTGTGTAAAACATTATAGGTTCTCCAAACTTACACTCTACCCTTTATATTTTTCTCACACCTCTAGTTTTGGTTTAGTTTATTTGCTTTTTGGTGGCTGGCCAGTATGGGGATCCAAACCTGTGACCTTGTTACCAGCACCACATTCTCCCAAGTGTGCTAAATAGTCAGACACCACCATGAAACTCACTTTAAAATAATTCAGTTTTGAATGTTTAAAATGTTCCTCTGGAGATGGCCAAGCAGAAGGCCTGATGAACAAATGATGATGCTAGATCTCTGCGGAACAGGTGGGTGTGCCCTGAGGGGCGCTGCAGCCAGCCGAGCCCGCCCTTCAGGCCCTGCCTCATACCTTCCCCCTTGCTGCTTTCCCTCCCTAGTCTCCATCTCTTCCCAACTTGTTCCCACGTTTGAATCTTTCAGAAAAATGGCGTTACTTCAAGTAAAATGCTTTCTAGAACTTTAAGTGTAATAGTTAAAGCTATGAATTATCTCCTCCAAATTCTGATGTAGAAAGTCAACGGGCCAATTTTAAGTAGTTAATTATACTTCATTGTATCATTTAGATGGGGCACATTTTTTCAGGGTCTCATATTAAAGGTTTTTTAAAATCTTAGAGCTTGGAGACAGCCTAACGTGGTGATAACTAAGGGGTCTGTCACAAGCAGTTGTCTTACCTTTAGAGATCAAATGGGGTGATGGATGTTAAAGTACAAAGCTCGCTACAAACTGCTATTAGATTGCCGTTTAACGGTACAAAGGCAATTGGGTGTAATAACCAGTAGGTCAATTTTCGTGCGATGACGCGGGACGTGAGGAACAGGCCGGCGTGGAGCCGGGGCTCCCGCACTGCCGTGCTTCGCGGGGTGCCTCGGTAATACGGGGCACCTGGACGGCGCTGGCAGGCAGCGGGCGCGGCGACACCGCGGTCGGGGCGGGATCGTGGCGGCGCCCGGGAGCCCCGGGCTGGAGCGGCGGGCACAGGCGGGCCGCTCCTCCGACAGGGTCCTAGGTCCTCGGCCCATTCCCCTCCGGGCGGAGTCGGGAAGCGCTCGGCCCTCCGTGGACGTGGGGCCCGCGGCCGCTCCCGGCCCCGAAGCCCCGGAGCTGGCGGCGTGGGTCGCGGTGGGCGCGGGAAGCTCCGACCTCCGGCCCTCGGGGCGGCACTGCAGCATCATCCCTCGGTTCCCCGACGCGGCGCCGCAGCTGCTCCGCCTGCCCAGGTTCATCCTGTCACCTCCCTGTACTGATGCAAGCACCGGACCCGTAAGAAAATGCTGAGATGTCGTTCCTTCCGAGGCTGCTGTTTTAAGTTCCAAGTCCGAACATAACCGAATTCAGCTGTTTAGAAATCTGAAATCTAGACATTCCCTGAAGGGTCAATTTAGAGTTCCCACTCCCAGACTGCAGAGTGGCTGTCTAGCTCCGTCCCCCTCGTCCGACGCCTCCTGGCCACCCCAAAAGGTCCCGGAGCCGAAATCCCGCCACACTCCATTCTTGGTGATCGACTGCTCTACTATTTCTAACCAGAAAAAAGGTCATCAAACGAATGGAGTTAACAAACGGCCCATTCGCGATGGAGTTTTCCTCCACTCAGGGTCAAGTTGAATACTCGTGTGGCTTGTTTCCTGATACCTTATTTTATGGAATAAGAGCCAAGAGAAAACACGCTTTAATTTTTGTTTGTAAACTGGGAATAGAGCCGCTCACTACTGCCAGATAGTTTGCACAACTTAAACTTAGGCAAAGTTAGTGGTTAAATTTTTATTAGAAGTCACCTTAACAATTACTGAAATGAGGTTACGTGGAATTAAAAAAGGCATTTCATTCATTGCAGGTAAACATTCTAAAGCAAAAACAAAACCAAAAAACTCTCCGTTACTTCTAAACTTAAAAATAATAAAAGTGATCTTGAAATCACAAGTTATCTCAATACTTACATGAGAGAGTGAATTCCTGACCGGATGTGGATGCAGATCCCAGCCTGAGCATCTTCTTTGAAATTTCCCCAGATTCTCAGGATTCTCACTAGCAGGAAAAGTCTACTTATGTTTTATACAACATATCCTAGTTCCCTGTCTCACTGGGTTGTGGATGGCAAGTAACAGTGTTTCAAAAAGCTGGACTCAAATAATTAACAGGGTTTGATCAACACATATTAGTATTATGTTAAATAGCTGGGAAATATCCATGCCATGAACAGCACCTGAGATTTATGTTGCCTCCACAGTGCATTGATTTCTAATACACAAATTCACATCTAAAAATCCAACTGATAGTCTTGATATAATTATGGTTCATAAATTTATTCCAAAAGGCTTTCTAAATCTTCAGTGTTCTATGCAGTTAAAGCAAGTCTATGGAAGGTGCTTGCATTTAGTGAACAGGATTGAGTCTCTGATTTGCTTTAAATTGAAAGTAAACAATCGATAGCAGAATGGAGTTTGTACACAACATCTGTGCTTATAGAAGTCTGATTGACTACTCGTTCTGACCATTAGGTTTTAGTTCTAAGCAAAGTCTTAAATAGAAGACCACTGGGTTACACCCCACTCTTGCATATACAAAATACCCTTCTTATTTCCATCAAAACTGCACACACTCTCACACACACACTTCAATTTACATCCCGACGCAGATTACAGAAAAGTACCTCCAATCCTCGCCGTTCCTCTCTGCAACTTTGGTTCTGGGTTTTGGTTTCTGCACTTCAATTGGAAAAGATGAGTTAGATTATTGTAAAACCCCAAAACATTTAGGAAAATGTCACATCTGCAGAGTTAGCATTTTTGAAACCGTGGTTTGCTGTGGCCTCCGTTAAACTTTGAGAGGGCTTTGTTCCGCTCAGACCCTGCGCCAGTCCTCTCTCTTGGTTGTGGAGACACTTATCCTCCTCTTCAGTTAATGAGTTTCACCTAGCCTGGCTGTTTGTGTTTTTATAAAAGGTCTGCAAAGCACTAATTGCAAAAGAAGAAAAAAGCTCTTGTTTTGCTTGATCAGAAGGTAGAATTCTATAGTAAAAACATTTTCTATTTTAAAGTTTCAGGAATCAAACCTTTTCCTAATTTCAGGAGTTGCACACATAGACTAAGTCTCCCGATGTAGAAATGTTAAGCCCTTCGCAACAATTACTTCTGGTTTGGTTCTTTAACTACGTAAAGGAATGCTGAAAGGAAAAAAAAAAAATGCCTACACTAAATTCAGAAAAGATTGCACAAAAACGTCGTTTCTTCTTAATGCAATTACTTCTGGTTTGGTTCTTTAACTACGTAAAGGAATGCTGAAAGGAAAAAAAAAATGCCTACACTAAATTCAGAAAAGATTGCACAAAAACGTCGTTTCTTCTTAATGATGACATTATTTTTGATAGAAAGTTCACTTCATCAAAGAGATGATGACATTATTTTTGATAGAAAGTTCACTTCATCAAAGAGATTCTTTGTTCCAGAAATTACCAAGGAAAAAACTGTCCATGAAGATTCATTTTCTTTAAATATATTATCTGGAGCCCTTGGCCATAAATTATTATGGTTTTTGTAAATATTGGGCTGTAAAAAAAATTTACTGCAAACCATGTGGACTTTTAGAACACATTTTCTAGAAGCAAAGTTTTAGAATTCTGATTCTATTATGTGGGAATCAAATTGATATAAACAAGCATTTTGAAGTTTGGCACATCAATGCTAGTCTTGCTAGCTTGGTTAAGATTTCTAAAGTCAACCTATTAATATGCAAAATCCCATGTTGGCAGAATTTTCTGTATATGTATTGCACCATTTTCATACTAATTTGCTCAAATTATTTATATAAATTTTTAAAAAATCAGATCTCATTTTCCAAAAATGCATTCGCAGTCCCTTGATAAAGGATGATTCCTTTGCTTCTTTAGTGTTTCCCCCCTCTGTAAAAGGACTCCTCCTTTATAAAAAATTTACTATATAAAATACAGTTTAGAGAAATTGCAAATTTAACTTCTGAACACCTCCCTATGAATTCACATTGTACACTCAGAAAAATGGTCGAACAATGAAGTGAAATAAAACGTTTCGGCCCCAAACTATAATTCTAAAACAAACATAGAAAAGTTTTGGGTTCTCTGGTAACTACTTGTTTTGATCATTTGTAAAT